TTTGGGTGTGGACAGGAAAACTGTGAATAGATCACCTTGAGGAGAATGGCTGTGACAGGAAATGTGACACCTGCTATTTTCTACGGGTAGACCACGAAGTGGAAATGCCAGAAGTGACCGTGTCCTCATCAACCTGGAAAGAAGAGAGCGGACCAAATCTGAAAAAGTCATTGCTTTGGAGCTACAGGCCCCACGTTTGGCTCGATTGTCTCACCAGACCGTAAACCGCAGGCCGTTGGAACATGGCTATACGCTTCATGAAGAATGGCGAAGAAACCACGCTTGACACCTACCCATCGAGCAAACAGGCTGCAGTGGGCGTGGCAGCACCGTAACCTTACGGTCCAACATTGGAACCACGTGGTGTTTGCTGATGGTTCCCGTAGACTCGTTAGAGAGAGAGGCTGTTGACTGAAACTATTAAAAAAACAGTAGCTGGAGAAGGTGGTTCCGTACATGTTAGGGGTGCCATTTGCAGCAACGGCATTTGCCCACTGCTTCCTCTGAATGAAAACCTTAACGCTGCCAGATACAGGGACATTTTCTAACAGAGCCTGGAGCTGTTCGCATGTGGGGTATACGGAGGCAATTTTAGATTGCATCATGACAATGCAACTCCCCATACAGCCCGCTTAATTACTATATCCGCCAAAACAACATTCAGATGATGCCACAGCCAGCAAGAAGCCCAGATGCAAACCCAATTGAGCAAATGTGGGTCGAACTTGGTAGTGCCTATGTAAAGGAGAAATTCTTCACCTGCTAATCTACAGGCCTACCCAACTACCAGACTCGGCACCTACGGATCCAGAATAAACCGGTATATCAGACCACACTACCCGTTTTCAAGGTGTGTGTCATATCGCATTACAGAGTATCAGCCACCACACCGATTTTGATGTGATAGCGATGATCCTAGGTATAGATAAAGTACGAGGCGCTGAGCTTTACGCGAAATAGAGCAGATAATTGGCGAGGCGAAGCCGAGACAATTATCTGCTCTATTTCGCGTAAAGCTCAGCGCCGAATGCTTTATCTGGCTTAAAGCACGAGTAATTAACCCTGTGCATTGGTGCTTGGAACGCATTCGTGGATGACGTGACTTTACACGAAATAAAGCACGGCGCGACCTATTGTCTTTTGACAGTAGAGTGCTTTAAAGCGGGGTTGGAAAGTAGTGCATCTCATCTAGATTCGTGCGCTGATGCAATTTTCCCTGTTTATGCTAAAAATGTGACAATACCTCAATTTTTAACATAAAATTTAGGTTCGAACATAGCCAATGATGTTTTGTAAATAAGAACTTGCAAACTTATATATTCATTTAGAAAAGTAGACCTTATTTTGATTATTTCGATATTCTGTCGGGGGTTAAATATTTTCTGGACGAGAATCAGTGAGTCGTCTGTCGCCATGTTGTCACTTGGAACTACTCCGATGTCTCCGCACTCGACAATAGTATGGAGCTTGCGGGATGAGCCGAGGATTGCCGATTTCCATGTTGTTGTATTCATACGACTCCTACTTGACGAAAACGAGGAGCGATACCCGGATGACAGGTAGGCTTACAAAATTTGTGATGGGGTATGATACTCTGTAATGCGATCTGACACACACCTTGAAAACGGGTACTGTGGTCTGATATACCGGTTTATTCTGGATCCGTAGGTGCCGAGTCTGGTAGTTGGGTAGGCCTGATCTAGATCAACTGCCAGATGCCCTTAAAAATAAATGGACCAGAATTCTTCTCCAAAGAGCTGTAACTCTAGTTCACAGTATGCCACGCCGTCTGGCGGCCATAATACAGGCTCGCGGTGGGCATTCCCGCTATTGAGATTATTAATGAAGTCTGAAAGTGTTTCATAACAATTTCCCCAAATTTCATATTAATTTTAAGTCACAGTACAAACCTATGTTTTTTCACTTATTACTGTTGTGTAAAAAAATACTCATTTTAGGGAGGGGGCACGAGAAAAAAAAACATAAATTAATGAACGCTTTTCTTAGATTTGCATTGTTTGTTTCTCTTTGTCTTTACTAATTCTCCAGTTTTACATATTAAGCAATATAAACGGTATAATTTTGGTAATAACAGTATAATGAAAGAAACAGGGCGAAATGCATCTAAAAATTTCCGTTTACCAACCATTTTGAGCAAGAGTGTGTAAATAAAGCAAAAAAAAAAAAACTTTGCAAGACTGTCTGTTAAATTTCTTTTGACTTTTAAATTTAAATTTAAACTGAAATCAAATTAAAATTGACCATAATTAACCGTAAATTTAACCGTATACATATCAATAGAACTATGACACTCAACAGTCGTACCGTTATCATATTTCACCAGCTGAATCCTGTTTTTGATCGCTGCAGACGTGTTGTACTCGTTAAATTTAAATTCAAACTCAGCGTGCACGGAGTACTTTATCAGCCCCACACGTGATTTATAATATCCAATAGGCGCTTTGTTGTGGATGTAATCTACAATTATCTGAAAAAAAAATGGTAAAAATTTTTCATGCTGAACAATTAATGCCTGTGTTTCTCAAAGCCTATATTAGGATTTTTTACAAGTGTTTATAAGTGATATCAAGATGATGATAATTTCCCTTCTTCCTCAATACTTTTGACACATTTATTTCTATTCTGTTTGTTTTATTTATATTTATTTTATTTAATTTTATTCTATTTATTTTTATTTTTTGAAAAAATTAAAATTCTGCTAAACCGTGCACATGAAGACGCCTTTATAGGCTGCAGTGGAAGTGACAAGGTTATTTGTTCAGATGTTAATAAATTTTTTTCAGTTGGTGTACCAGGCATCCTAAATATATAGCTAAACAGACAGTACATGCATATTAATGAATGTAATGGAATTTTTTAAGGCTACGTTCACCAAATTATTTGGATGCCTCTTCTTTTTAAGAATTTACCTTTGCTGCACTTTTTTCCATTTCAAAGTACTTGGGCCTAACACTTCCACTACTGTCCAACACCAACAGCAAATCTAACTTTGGGGGAACTAGAACACACCGCTTATGAAATAATACACCAATGCATCTCGGAGCCATAATACTGGATAGCTTCTTGTTCATCAATGAGGCCTGGTGAACGACGTTAGTCACTCCGAAAACTATGGAAAAAAGGAGATGTTCGAGTAAATAGTTTTTTCCTCGGGGAATAGCGGTGATCTTTTCCTTTTTTGATACCTGTTTTCTCTCCAGGCATTGTTGTTTTAAGATAGCACTGTGCTGTATGATTCGGAGGCAATATCTTTTTTAAGAAATTCAATATTTACCTCTACGCAAATAGCGCGTTTAAGTGAAGACTCCCCTGACATATAATTAATATCAAGAAAGAAAGAAAAAGGAAAGAAAAGAAAAAATGGGAAAAGGGAGAATGAAAATCGAAAAAAGGGGGGCAATTACCAGAAAACTAAAAATCTCACCTTTTTCAGCACTGATTAAAGCCAGCCAAACCACGAGCACATTAATAAGCTGCATCTTAGGTCACACTCCTATATCATTTTCTGAAAGTGTTGTTGATGTGTTTTCTCACTGTTGTTTTTATAGTACTTTCCTTACATGTGTACGTGCAGGACGTAGCTCACCCATGATTTTTTATATTTCCTCAATAAAAATAATGACAGACAGTTAATGAAAAGTCCAAGGACAATTTCTGTGCATGTAAGATTATCCTAAAACGTATGCGGATTGGCATTCGTCATGATTTTTATTTACATAAAGGAAAATACAAAGAAACCGTGATTAAATGTAATTTGAAAAGATAAAAATGATCCGCTCAAATTAAATTAGGACTTACAATTTACTTCAGTTAAGCTTATAAGGATTCATTTGCACTTTTTCCTTGTTTAAAAGCATGCGAAGCGAATTATTGGCGCGAAATATTCTGAAAAAAGAATTTTGATACTTCTCCCTTTTACCCAATGTCAATTTTTTATCAATACAATATTAATTCCGAACACTGTATTCAAATATGCTTTCTACATCTTTTAAATATCAAATTTTCGAAATCAATTATCTATCATGTGAGCTCGATCTCGGATTACATTCTCGATATACAACCAACGATGTTTGGGGTTTTCATACCTCTTGCTTATTCAAGCTTTATTGCGGTTGTCAGTGGCAATTTAAATTGCATTCACCCCCTATATCTTTAAACAGTATGTTTGTCAAACGATACAGGAAAAGGTGTAACTTATTTAGATATTTCTAATACTATCCTGGTTACAAGATAAACTGCACGTATACCCTCCTGTTTCGGTTCATTTTGGTTTAAACGAATTTCCTTATTTTGTTAATGGGACTCATTGTGACAAACTGTTTGTATAAAAAATTGTTTTATCCTTCAGTGCATATTTTGTAATTTACATAATATAAGGCCTCACGTTACGAACCACAATTTGCTCAGCTCATTATATTTTGAAAGTGACCCTACATGTACATGTACCTTTGTGGGGTCTCAGTGCTGATTTTAACATCGACATTCCTTAACTGTGTCCCCCCCCCCCCCCCCCAAGGAATATAAGGGTTGTTGAAACCCATTATGGTAAACTAAATATTTCAAAGAAGAGGAAAGGATAAAGCCAGCACTGGACTCACGTTGGAATGCAGCAACTATCTCCACACTTCAACAGGGGAAAGGCTGTTTACTTTATAACTGAAACATCATTTAACCTGTTTTCAAATTATAAAACAGGCTATGTAAATGCAGAAAAAGACCCTGGTTAATGGGTATTTTAGTATTAAAGTATGATCATTACTGTGAGAAAAAAAAACACCTAAGCGCCAAGTTGCAGTGGAATCTGAACTAAGTCGTTTTATTAATTGAACTTCTTTGCAATAACAGCTATATACAGGTAACTATCACACCTTTCTTTTCATATGTACTAATATGTGACAGTCGTGGTAAAAGACTTATAATTGACTACCTAAAGTAGACAAAAATCAGTTGATTGGCCATTATTTATACTTTGACATGGAATGTTTTTTATTTCATGGATCTAATTTACATAAAACAAAAACGCGTTACAACTTAAGGCCACTGAAGAAATTATCGCTCAACGTCGGTGAGCTCTTGCTCAAAGAGTACGCCCTCGAAAGGATCTGCAAAGCCTGATAAAATGATGTCGCTTGGAAGATGCAGTCTTTATTTCCAATATCGTGTATCTCGGCCCAGTTAATAGACGGTCCAATTACCATGATACACACAGTTGTGCCTACAGTAAAATAAACAGAATTGAAAAGTTTTTAGAATTTAATAGATATAAACAGAGAAAAAATATATCTTAACTTAGGAAGAAATACCAAGCATTGCTCATATGGGAAACTTAACTCAAACGGCCTTCATTCTGACAGTTGTCATGAATAAAAAATTCAAAAGTATATCTCGTTTTACGGCCGTTTGATCTAATTATAAAAAGTGACTGGTTTTATACGTAACAGTATAGTACTATTAAGCAGTTGCAGTGTTTTTACTGAGAACTATTCGTCAATATGAAACATATTCGAGCATTTTCAAAGCATGTTTGAAAAAGGAAACAAAAACGTTTGCTCCTACCGATTGCTCTCAGTTGATCAGCCGGTATTTTAGGGTTCCCACCATAATTAGATCTACCATCAGTAAACACCCAAACAACTTTGACGTTGCCAGGACGACTGTTAGCTTGCATCTCCGTCTTGGCTTTCCCCAGTGCAATTGCGGTTGCCGTGCGCCAACCTTATTAAAACAAATAACAAATATGATAGATATGTGGACGACCCCACAATTCTTATCTTTTTTTGAATACAGGCACTAATGACTCTCTCTCTCTGCCTCGGCAGAAGTTTTAACTCTCTAAATCTTTTTCAATTGAAGGATATAAAATTTCACTCACCGAAAAATTATATAATAATAATAATAATAATAATAATAATAATAATAATAATAATAATAATACATTTATCTATGACAAATATGTATATATTGATTAGCACTTGTGTATTTACAGATCAGATATTAGATCGATGCACAAAAAGGGACATTCAAAGCAATGTATCAAGAGCTGACTTGTGATACGGCCATACTTGCTTCCAACACGTAATTCTTTGTAGTGTGGGCGAGATGAACTCTCAAACGAACAGTTCAACATCATGTTATCAGTTAAAGACCGTTTACGTCTTCTACTGCCTTACATCAACGTAAAACCTTATTCCAGATGTGACAAAATTAAGAACAGTCCGTTGTTCAAAATCCTTTGGGCCCTATAACATTTGATGACTAAATATGTTTCTTAATGCAAGATAATTCTCAAATGAACATGCGACATGCGTAAATGCATTTTTTACTCCAATTTTCATTAATTTTTGAAAAATTATTATATGCCATTTATAATATGTTTCTATAGATTTAATTCTTTTAGACCTGCCAACTGTTTTTATTGAAAGAAATGAATATAACTATTATAATGATTATATTATCATATCAGAAAATAGAAAAAAAAAAGAAACAAAAATAACCTTCAAATATAAAACTGCTGACGTGTCGCCATCAGCAAAATGACCACACTTTATGGGGAGACAAATAAGTTCATGAACACTACACAACAATAAAATGACAACCATTTAGAACAGCGGACAGGGTTATAGAGTATAAAGTTGTTTTAGTCCGGTTTTGGTTACCGGGTACATGTCTCTCTACATGACGTGGACATTACTAAAGAGTTGTATCAAAAGAAATTACATTGAATTGCAACGGACGGATCTGGAAATAACAAATAACGGGTTTCATGAAAACGTCCTGTAAGAATAAATGAAAATATAAATAAATATTTGATGAATGAGTAAAAATACAAATTAACCAAATACATAGCTCAGGAACTACAAGCCATACCGTTGTCATATGTAACAAGTTGAATCCTGTTCTTGATCGCTGCAGGCGTGTTGTACTCGTTAAACTTGAATTCAAAGTGAGCGTACACGGAGTATTCTATCAGACCTACACGTGATTTATAATATCCGATGGGTGCTTTGTTGTGGATGTAGTCAACAATCACCTGAAACAATGAATGGAGTTATAATGTCTTCACAAAAGTAAACAATGCTTTGTTGTTATTCAGTAAACATGAGATTTACGTTTTGATTCAGGATATCAGATTGGGGGGGGGGGGGGATTTAGGCCCAATAAACAACACTGACGCATGCGCAGAAAACTTCGACAACAGACAAAGACCTAAAAAATTCCAAAAAATTACTTGTCACTTAACCCTTTGGTTAAAACAAGCGTTTTGTAATGCCGTGCAACTAAAATTACCTGACAAGAGTTTTATGCAGCCATTTTCGGCTAAGCTCTAATGCCAGACGGTTTCAGCAAATTAGTCCCTTCACGACAATTCTAGAACTGCCAGTTTTGGACTATGGCAATACTTAAAATATACAGTTATGCTGTGGGTAATGTACTGAAATGAAGCGAATTTTTTTAACGAGGGTAGTGCTGTTTAAGCCTACAACACGTAATGATTTATTATCCTTGTCGACATCCCCGGCATAATGTCAGAGGGACACTTGTCACTTCTTGTCGGTCAACAGATCTATCATGGCTTACATGAATGACGTAGATCTTCATATTTTAAAATAAACATGCAAGTGCTCTTCATTCGTCGGATCACACAAAGTAATGAAAAGAGCCGATGGCCACACTTTTGAGTCCTTTTATCTGCTTGAAGCGCTTAGCAGTTGCCATTTTAAAAGTGCTTATTATCCCCAAGGGGCGATGATGTGAAGACGACATATAACGTGATATATATTATAATTACCTGCCCTCTGTATACAGAACACAGAAAAGAACTTTTTAAAATAATACAAAGCAGACACACATGCTTTGCACATTTAAACAACAAAGATAAATTCCACTTTATAATGAACAATCCAAACGAAACAGTGATAATTTCCTTGGCCAAATTCCTTAACCTTGCTTTAACCAAAAGAAACTGTGCTACATCTTCCACTTCATGATGTCTATCAATAATTACTATAAATATGAAGATTTAGTACACATAGTAGAAAACATTGGTACATTTCTATATATGTAATTTTGGTGCTATTTATCTATGTATTTTACTTTTACTATTATCATTATTATTGCTGCTATTACCTTATCTATGTACATTTTCACCAGCTCAGTCTGGTGCAGAAAGTATGAATAAAGCATATATATATATATATATATATATATATATATATATATATATATATATAACTTGCCTAACTTTGATGCGACTTGGTTTTGTAGCACGGCGAAGTTTTTAAGGGTGTTGGCGAGGTTTTCTGGAGTTGCGTTGAGGACATTAACAAGGCCTAATATTGTCCCTTTCCCATCCCATTAGACGTTCTAATTTATAGTCTTAAAAGAATGTACTTATGTATCTTGCACGCTTGTTACGTCATATACTTAGATGTATGTAATTTTCTACCCATATTCTTCAATTCATTTGGGTGCCTCTTTATTTTGTAATGGCAGAGTTTTGGACCCATCAAACACTATGAGTATAAGCTAGAATTTACCTTTGCTGCGTCTTTTTCTTTTCCAAATTGATACGATGTTATGCTTCCACTACTGTCCAATACCAGCAGAGTGTCTAACTTTGGAGGGACTTTAACACAACTTCTAAACCATAGATAACCCGAGCACACCAACTTGGGAGCCATAAGGCTGGAAAGCTTGTTGTTGATCAGCGACGCCTGGTAGTTCACATTCACCGCCTGGGAACCTGTGAGAAAAGAAAACATGAACTGATATGATATCCATGGTATGACTGGAGTAGGTCTAACGTAGATAGAAGAGTTTTCTTTTTATTTCTTAGGATGTCGGAAATCTTTGGCACGATTGACAACTGGTACATCTATTCTCTACAGTAGCGTTCCTAAAATCTAAAAAAATTGGTATTATAAAGAAATTGTAGGATATAGCCAACTATGTTTTAAAAGTGATACACTGTTTTGTCTTCAAAAAGATGCCATGTCAAAGCTCAAATAGTGCATTTAAGTGAATTTAAAATAGGAGGAAGGCATAAACCGTTCACTGGTTTCTAGACAAAAGTAGACATTTTCTTTTTTTTTAGATAAATTAGGTATATTTGAATTCCAAATTCAACAGCGCGCTAGGTACATGTACTCCTTGCTTTACATATAAGCAATTGCCAGGTTCATAATGATAAGAAGAAGAAAGAAAGAAAGAAAGAAAGAAAGACAAGAAGTGTTAAAACAGTACCCAACGAAAAACCCGCAACTAACTATCTTACCTTTGTCAATGCTTACTAAAGCAAGACAAAACACGAGCACTTTGACAAGCTGCATCTTGAGTCACTCTCCTGTCTCAGTCAGTGAAACCGGCTGGTGTGAAAACAAGTGTTTTCTTGATCTTTTTATAGTATTTTTCTGACCGGCATACGTGCAACACTTGGCGAATACATGAATTTTTCATATTTTCACAAGAAAGAATGACCACTATTAATCGAGAGCGAATAGCTAGGTGAAGGGCAATGTTTACCATACGGACTTCGATTTCCATTTCATAAATGGCTTTTTAATTGTTGTTAAAGTCAATGAAATTCTAGATGTATTTCATTGAAGTGTTTCTTTGGGACGAAATAAGAGTATGAAATGAATAACGTTTCTTATTTGTAAGGAGGTGGTTGAGACGATTTTTGAACTTTATATTTTTTATTTCACCATATAAGTCTTTTTCTATATAAAATATATTTAGGGTACAAGGTGGCACTCATTCATTGGTCATAATCATATAGATTGTGAGTCTTTTTGTTTAGATGAAATTTTTGAGTTAATGATTTCATCTTAGAAAATCCGACGGGATAAATACATAGTTACACCCCCCTTACACCTTCCTGCCACCGTTTGGAGAACTAATTTTGACCTTCTCTTACAAATATTATGTACCAAAAGAAAAGGCTCCAAAATTTTAGAATTCAGACATGCATTAATAACGTTATCATTCGAAAGTGACACTTATGGAAAAACTGTAGGGTCACGTCGCTGCCCAAACCATACATTTTTTTAACTGAACACCTGCCAAAGAATAAGGAAACAATTTGAAAACCTAATAAGGTAAACAACTATATGTTCATTACTGTAAAATGAACATATATACTTACATGTAAAAAGTTCATGCTATATTTAATTCACCGGGTCGTAATAGAGAGGAGATTTATTTGACGTGAAGTATGTCGTACTCGTGGTGGAATTTTTCCGGGTTTAGGCCTAATTATAATTATATGTAAGGTGTATAAGAACTTGTAAGAGGATAGATACTTGGGTGAGCGTACAAGTATAGCATTGATACCGGGAACAAGATATCTGTATTCATATTCTGGTCCGACTTCTAACAAGGTTTTAGACTATTATTTTATGTAAAAATTACAGAGAAGACCTTGAATATGGTCGGATTACATGTTAAAGCGCACAACCTCTAACAATTCCTTAAAAGTGATTCAGTTTAATTTGGTACTTAATGCCGTTAATTCAAAGACAGCAATTCAGTCTTAATTGTCTGTTAACTTTCTGTTGGGTTAAACATGATTACAGCGCAACGTAAATATGCATTANGCCTATGGCAATACTTAAAATATACAGTTATGCTGTGGGTAATGTACTGAAATGAAGCAAATTTTTTTTAACGGGGGTAGTGCTGTTTAAGCCTACAACACGTAATGATTTATTATCCTTGTCGACATCCCCGGCATAATGTCAGAGGGACACTTGTCACTTCTTGTCGGTCAACAGATCTATCATGGCTTACATGAATGACGTAGATCTTCATATTTTAAAATAAACATGCAAGTGCTCTCCATTCGTCGGATCACTCAAAGTAATGAAAAGAGCCGATGGCCACACTTTTGAGTCCTTTTATCTGCTTGAAGCGCTTAGCAGTTGCCATTTTAAAAGTGCTTATTATCCCCAAGGGGCGATGAAGTGAAGACGACATATAACGTGATATATAACTTGCCTAACTTTGATGCGACTTGGTTTTGTAGCAAGGCGAAGTTTTTAAGGGTGTTGGCGAGGTTTTCTGGAGTTGCGTTGAGGACATTAACAAGGCCTAATATTGTCCCTTTCCCATCCGTTCTAATTTCAAGTCTTAAAAGAATGTACTTATGTATCTTGAACACTTGTTACGTCATATACTTAGATGTATGTAATTTTCTACCCATATTCTTCAATTCATTTGGGTGCCTCTTTATTTTGTAATGGCAGAGTTTTGGACCCATCAAACACTATGGGTATAAGCTAGAATTTACCTTTGCTGCGTCTTTTTCTTTTCCAAATTGATACGATGTTATGCTTCCACTACTGTCCAATACCAGCAGAGTGTCTAACTTTGGGGGGACTTTAACACAACTTCTAAACCATAGATAACCCGAGCACACCAACTTGGGAGCCATAAGGCTGGAAAGCTTGTTGTTGATCAGCGACGCCTGGTAGTCCACATTCACCGCCTGGGAACCTGTGAGAAAAGAAAACATGAACTGATATGATATCGATGGTATGACTGGAGTAGGTCTAACGTAGATGGGAGAGTTTTCTTTGTATTTCTTAGGATGTCGGAAATCTTTGGCACGATTGACAACTGGTACATCTATTCTCTACAGTAGCGTTCCTAAAATCTCAAAAAATTGGTATTATAAAGAAATTGTAGGATATAGCCAACTATGTTTTAAAAGTGATACACTGTTTTGTCTTCAAAAAGATGCCATGTCAAAGCTCAAATAGTGCATTTAAGTGAATTTGAAATAGGAGGAAGGCATAAACCGTTCACTGGTTTCTAGACAAGAGTAGACATTTTCTTTTTTTTAGATAAATTAGGTATATTTGAATTCCAAATTCAACAGCGCGCTAGGTACATGCACTCCTTGCTTTACATATAAGCAATTGCCAAGTTCATAATGATAAGAAGAAGAAAGAAAGAAAGAAAGAAAGACAAGAAGGGTTAAAACAGTACCCAACGAAAAACCCGCAACTAACTATCTTACCTTTGTCAATGCTTACTAAAGCAAGACAAAACACGAGCACTTTGACAAGCTGCATCTTGAGTCACTCTCCTGTCTCAGTCTGTGAAACCGGCTGGTGTGAAAACAAGTGTTTTCTTGATCTTTTTATAGTATTTTTCTGGCCGGCATACGTGCAACACTTGGCGGATACATGAATTTTTCATATTTTCACAAGAAAGAATGACCACTATTAATCGAGAGCGAATAGCTAGGTGAAGGGCAATGTTTACCATACGGACTTCGATTTCCATTTCATAAATGGCTTTTTAATTGTTGTTAAAGTCAATGAAATTCTAGATGTATTTCATTGAAGTGTTTCTTTGGGACGAAATAAGAGTATGAAATGAATAACGTTTCTTATTTGTAAGGAGGTGGTTGAGACGATTTTTGAGCTTTATATTTTTTATTTCACCATATAGGTCTTTTTCTATATAAAATATATTTAGGGTACAAGGTGGCACTCATTCATTGGTCATAATCATATAGATTGTGAGTCTTTTTGTTTAGATGAAATTTTTGAGTTAATGATTTCATCTTAGAAAATCCGACGCGCTAAATACATAGTTACACCCCCCTTACACCTTCCTGCCACCGTTTGGAGAACTAATTTTGACCTTCTCTTACAAATATTATGTACCAAAAGAAAAGGCTCCAAAATTTTAGAATTCAGACATGCATTAATAACGTTATCATTCGAAAGTGACACTTATGGAAAAACTGTAGGGTCACGTCGCTGCCCAAACCATACATTTTTTAACTGAACACCTGCCAAAGAATAAGGAAACAATTTGAAAACCTAATAAGGTAAACAACTATATGTTCATTACTGTAAAATGAACATATATACTTACATGTAAAAAGTTCATGCTATATTTAATTCACCGGGTCGTAATAAAGAGGAGATTTATTTGACGTGAAGTATGTCGTACTCGTGGTGGAATTTTTCCGGGTTTAATTATAATTATATGTAAGGTGTATAAGAACTTGTAAGAGGATAGATACTTGGGTGAGCGTACAAGTATAGCATTGATACCGGGAACAAGATATCTGTATTCATATTCTGGTCCGACTTCTAACAAGGTTTTAGACTATTATTTTATGTAAAAATTACAGAGAAGACCTTGAATATGGTCGGATTACATGTTAAAGCGCACAACCTCTAACAGTTCCTTAAAAGTGATTCAGTTTAATTTGGTACTTAATGCTGTTAATTCAAAGACAGCAATTCAGTCTTAATTGTCTGTTAACTTTCTGTTGGGTTAAACATGATTACAGCGCAACGTAAATATGCATTGCTTCATTGAAATGGCAAGCTACGTGTATGTACATGTATACGAAACCGTCTAGTCTATCTATACTAACTATATATGACACGTCAGCTGGGTGCCTTCTCAGTACCCTCTACCAGGGCCGCATATTATATTGTTGACTTTTTTTTTCTTTGACGCGAGTGTAGGGCAGCGAATTACCGTCAATTTAATCAGAGATATAGGCCTATCTATGAACATCTAGTGAAAAATCAATCTGTGACCCAGGTAGAGGGTGCCTCTTCGGCAGTTTGGTCACATTTTTTTCTTGTTGCATTAATCGTCTTTTTCTACTGAAAGTCTGAATAATGCAAACCGCTTGCTCTGTTTAACCCACTGAATCTGTTTTGTTAATCTGGTAATTTGAAATGCAAAATATAAGAGACCTGGGTTGCCTCACGTACAGTAATCAACTACTTGAGGAAATAAAAGTTATTTGTATATTGCAGGTGACGACGTACCATATTTTAAAGCACAGTAGGCCTACATACTCAGTATGTCATGCCAAATATACAGTAGGTAGGCGTACATTGTATACATCTTGTGGTGATTATTATTAATGAAAATCAGCATTTTTTGGGTTTTTATTTTGACCAGCAGAGTATTATTTCGATTTCAAAACACATTTAGATAACATAAATTAATCTAGAAATAACTGGGTAATAAAAAACGAAAGATTGACATGGAAATGATTTAATTTTACGCTCGTCAAGTCTGCTTTCTGCAAATAGGTTACACACTTCAAAAATCATCAAAATTATACAAATAATAAGTTATCATGTATCTATCAAATTTGTATCTGAAACCTCTGATAACTGTTTTGATGTTTTCTTCTATTTGGCAGTTATCAGTAGAGTTCACTTATAAATCTGAGACAGGCCCTACCGTTAGGCCTATGTACATATTTTGGAAAAATAATCAAACGTCTTTTCTTGTGTAGGCCTACAATTAACATCACAATTACTTACGTTATTTTGCCGTTACTATTTTTAATATTTATTTGAACTCGTCCCTTTTATTCTATAATTGTCATAATTTTTGATTATCAAATCAAATAGGCCTATTTAATTAATCTATTTATTAATTAATCATCATCATCTTCTTCATTATTATTATTATTACTATTATAATCATCAATTGTAATCGTAGTTTATTATAATTTTGTGTGTGTATATCTTGAACTTTGTGTTACACTTTCTTATTTTACATTAACTGGTCTTAACGTTAATAGGGAACTGCCCATTCAGTTTTAGGCATTTGTAACTATAAATATGCTCCATTAAGGCCTACGTAGGCCTACATCAACGATCGAATCTGTGTTTAGTCAAGTACTTTTTAAGGTAGCTATTACAATAGTGTACCATTAACTATCTGTTACGCAATGACGGATGTAGGGGGGTCAGGAGGGGTCCTTACTCCACCTTCGATTTCTGAAAAAATCATAGGGGCCTACCAATGGTTTCTTCTTGAATATTTAATATTGACTAGCTGAATAATAGTTCTAAATCGTTCTCCCTCTAAAATTCCAAAATTTCAAGTGGGAGAGGGGGGGGGGGGTCGGTCTCGCATCCGCTGACCCCGCCCCGTACAAATAATCTTGGCTCCGCTTCGGTTACGTAAAACTTATAAAGAGAACAGCTACGTTTCTTCAAAATAAGAGAAGAGCTTATCTTGGGGGATAGTTGTGGGAACGAGACCAGGATTACGACAATGATCACTCGTACATCCTTTGAAACAAATTAGGGGCAAACTTAATTAATCAAACTTAATGAATCTATTGACTTAATTCTGTTGTTTTACTGGCTATTTTGTTGAAGTTCATGAAGTTAAGACGACCTCAATTTTACGACATTGTATGATGGCGGGAATGACAAACATGGCGACCTACAGGCGAAGGCGAGCTGCGAACTACGAATGCCAGATTTAGTGGGATTTTTCAGTCAATTTCAGTTATGTTTCTGCCTCTTTCACACATATTGCATAAGAGGTAAGGCGTATATCATGATAGTATGGAAACAGATCCGTTACTATAGAATTTAAAATAACGTTAAGGAATTGACTGACTTGAAATGTGTCTTTCAATATTTTAGTTACTCAAGATTATTATGAATGAACAGCACAGTTTGTTCATTGTCCTAAGTTTTATAGACCAAGGGTCCTTTTGTATCCTAGGTTCACGCAAAATTTATCTGAAGGACAAATACTGTGAAAATGAAGGAAAGGGAACATGGCAGGAGTAGTTTAGAGGAATATGCTAAGAGGTGAAATAACACTTGGTAATGGCTAGTGAAGGGCGGCATACAGCGCCACATCAACCACAAGATGGAGGCAAAACATGTCAGACTGCCAGGGCTTTCAAGTGGAAGTCAGACAGAGAACCCAGAAATGGGTCTTATTCTCACATACTGCAGACTAACCCTAATTTGATGCTAGGTAAGTGGGGCAGTAGTTGACTTAGGGCCGTGGCAATAGTCCGAAGGTTCATTGGTCTGAATGTTTGCTATTGAACCTTCGGACCAATGAACCCTTGATTAAGAAAAAATACGATGAAAATGTTACCATTTTTCGGACCAATGAACCTTCAGACTATCAAGATGCCTCCGTAGACTTTGTATGATTTTAAAATGATAGCAACTTACAGCATCATAAATGCTTGTGATTAATATGATAATGATAATAATTATTATGTGATAAAATGATAGTTATTATAACACCATTCATGATTCTTGTGTGTGTGTATTTGTGTGTGTGTGTGTGTGTGTGTGTGTGTGTGTGTGTGTGTGTGTGTGTGTGTGTGTGTGTGTGAGTGAGTGAGTGAGTGAGTGAGTGAGCTAATTTTTTATGTACAGACACAGATGTGTCTGTACATATAGCCATCATCTGCGTCTGTCGTCGCCGTCGCCGTGCACTTTTACCGATAACACGATAAGTGGAAAACCATTTTACCTTTTGACTTGAAACTTGCAGAACTGATGAATATTCATAATACGCAGGTCAAGTTCGAAAATCAGCATGATCGGGTNGAAAATACACCGTTTATGACACCCTATAAATCTCAAAAAATATTGCCCAATTCAAATTCTCGAACTTCCGGTTTGTTTAATAGCCACCTAGCGGCAGACCAGTGGCTCCCGGGCTGACAGCTACGTTAAATGTTGTATTTTCTTCAAAGTAAGAGATGAGCTTATCTTGGGGGGATAGTTTTGGGAACGAGACCAAGGTTACGACAATGATCATCTGTAAATCCTTTGAAACAGACTTTGAAACAATGTAGTAACTAGTTAAGTAATCATCAAGAATCTATTGAATTGATATCTGTATTGTTATACTGTCTATTTTGTTGGTGTTCATGAAGTTTACGCGACCTCATTTTTACGACATTGTATGATGGCGGGAATGACAAACATGGCGACCTACAGGCGAAGGCGAGCAGTAAACTAAGAATACCAGATTTATTGGGATTTTTCAGTCAATTTCAGTTATTTTGCTTCCTCTTTCAGACATATTGCATAAAAGGTAAGGCGTATAACATGATATGATGGCAACAGATACGTTTCTATTGAATTAAAGTTTCAGGATTTGACTGACTTGCTGACTTGGAAATATTATGTCTTACATTATTTTACTCTAGATTAGGAATGAACACTTTACAGCACAGTTCATTCTCTGTTATCAGTGCCCTGACTTTTCAATTATTATAGGCCAAGGTCCTTTTGTATCCTAGGTTCACGCAAAAATTATCTGAAGGACAAATACTATGAAGTTGAAGATGAAGGGGAAGGGAACACGGCTGGGGTAGTTTAGAGGAACACCAAGAGGTTAAAAAACACTTGGTAATGGCTAGTGAAAAGCTGCACACAGTGTCACATCAACCACAAGATGGAGGCAGAACATGTCAGACTGCCAGGGCTTTCAAGTGGAAGTCAGACAGAGAACCCAGAAATGGGTCTTATTCCCACATACTGCAGACTAACCCTAATTTGATGCTAGGTAAGTGTGGGACAGTAGTAGACTTGGGGCCGTGGCAGTAGTCCGAAGGTTCATTGGTCTGAATGTTTGCTATAGAACCTTCGGACCAATGAACCCTTGATTAAAAAAATAAATAAATAAATAAAAAATAACGATGAAAATGTTACCATTTTTCGGACCAATGAACCTTCAGACTATCAAGATGCCTCCGTAGACTTTGTATGATTTTAAAATGATAGCAACTTACAGCATTATAAGTGCTTGTGATTAATATGGTAATGATAATTATTATAATGTGATAAAATGATAGTTATTATAACACCATGATTCGTGTGTGTGTGTGTGTGTGTGTGTGTGTGTGTGTGTGTGTGTGTGTGTGTGTGTGTGTGTGTGTGTGTGTGAGTGAGCTAATTTTTTTTTTCATAAAGATGGTAGTGAGGCCCATATCTTTTTGTTTTTCATTTGTATTCTATGTGAGGTATGATATAAAGTTTATCTCCATTACAGGGGGTATTTATTTATGTATTTTTTTTTCTATTTGTATTTCAGAACTGGGGGATACCAATCCAAACTGGTTCCGTGAACTAACAGAGGAGGGCCTGAAGAATGGACAACATGGCAAGGCTTCTACTGGAAAGACGGGGGAGATCCAGCCTGCTCTGCCATCCATGAGTCATGAAAGTGCCCTGTCATCACAAACAAGTATGTGGCAAGATACAACTTCTAGCATGCCTTATTTGACACTAACATCAGCTCTGGGAGGGGAACAGAAAGTTGACTGCTTAGGGATAGAAGGTAGAATTGAAAATGTACACTTAACTGAGTGTTACATTAGCAAAGACTTTAAAGATGCAGATTCTTCTGTTATAACCAACAGTGTATGCTCAGTTGCAGGTGTTATTGGTGTGAACACAGTAAAACAAGATGATGCCATAACAGTCACAGAGGCACCATTGAGGCTAAGTAGCTTGCATTTACAGACACATCATTCTCTGCATGAGCACCAGCATGTCAGTGAGATAGTGACACCCAAGACAGTCCCTACCCTAACTGCTATAGCTCCCTCTAGTGACCACGGGAAAACCTGTCCCAGTTTACACAGTGGGGAATGGAAGGCAGAGAAATGTGAGTTTTCCGTGGTGTTTAACATTGTCATGTTTTTTTTTTTTTTTTTTTTTTTTTTTTCTATTTTGGGGGTCTTTTTTTTTTTTTTTTTTTTTTTTTTTTTTTTTTTTTTTTTTTTTCCCTTTTTTTCCAACTTTCCC